ATATGTTAAATAATATATCATTTAGAGATAAAAAAAAAATTAAGAGAGGGATATATAGGTGGACAATTGAGGCTGCATTCCGGCTTATTTAATGGACGTTTTTAGAAGGTTTTCAGAGCCATAAACGTTTATTTTTAAAGAATATTGCTTAGAAGGACCATCCGAGTCATAATTGTGAATTTTAGGAGAATATTTTTATAAAAAGACTATAGAACTTATAACGAGAATATTATAAGAGATATGAACGTGAATAGTATAAGAGATAAGATAGCAGATTTTAAAGAATATTTTTAAAAGTTAAGATCCTGTGTTTTTAAAGAATATTTTTAGAAAAACTGTCATGGCAATAATCGTGGAGTGTGAGAGAAAATTTTTTGCAGGGGGAATATCAGAGATATGAATTTGGATTTTTAAGCGGAAAAAATTCCGGAAAAAATTTTAAACATTTTTCCACTAAATACACATTTTTTATAATCTCCATTGTCATTGTCATTCCGTTTGTAACTCCTCGAAATACTCATTGTCAGGATGAGATAAAAAAAACTGCAACAAAGTCAAACGCCATAATTTTTATTTTTTTTTTTTTTTTTAATTTTATTGAATGCAAGAAAAAAATGTCGGAAATTGCATCAAATTTTAGAATAAGTTTAGATTTGTTCGAATTGGTAACCTTTGGCACGAATTATGGCCTTAAAAAGGCCAATGACCTTCAAACGGCCAATGAAACCGTCACACGCTGCCCGAATGTTGATCTGCGGTATTTTGGCGCTTGCTTGAAATGAACGACACTTTGGTATTTTTTAGTGCCAACCTTGCTTTCCAAAATACTCCAGACACAATAGTCCAACAGATTGGTATCCGGTGAATTTCGGTGGCCATTGTGCGCTGGAAATGAAGCGAGGAGCCACATTTTGTAACCATTTTTGGGTGGCGCGTGCTGAGTGCGATGGTGCTGAGTCCTGTTGGAATGTCCAAGGTCTGCGGCCAAAATGTTTGTGTGTACAAGGCTTTAATACACCCTTCAGAATATTTTTTTGCGATAATATTCGGCATTTATTCTGATGCGACGGTTGTTTAATACGAGCGGAGAGCGACAATGGGCTGTTATGGCGGCCCACACCATCACAATGGCCGGGGCTTGAATTCTGTTGGCCAAGCGGAGGTGCACATTTTCACCTGACCTCTTTGGCAAGTAAACACAATCATTTGGTTTGTTTACAAACTGCTGGACAATGAATGTTTTCTCATCAGAGAAAACCAAATTCGGCAGTTCACCGCTTTCGGCCAAGTGAAGCAACTCTTTAGCTCTTTTGAGTCTATTTTCTTTCTGTTGCGATGTAAGTTCTTGCACATTTTAGAATTTCAATGGCTTTACTCCGAGCTCATTTTTCAATATTTGCCGAATGGAATATTGCGATATGTTCAGCTCACCATTTTGCGGCCAGTGCGACGTGGGTTTCGATCAAGTCGCTTCTTTACATTTCGAACCACTTCTGCTGATGTTGTTGTTTTCTTCCGTCCACTTCCTTGACGTCGGCTATGCTACCAGTATCACGGTAACGAGCGATGGTACGAGACACAAAAGATTTATTCTCATTTCAATGCTGGAGTGCTCCAACGACAGCCATTTGTGGTTTTACAGCCAATTATAAAGAAATCACACTATCACGCTTGAACTCCGTCTGGAAAATTCTCCCCAAAATTCTTATGTACGCTTGTAAGCAATAAAATGAAATAATAAATTTTAACAGCTGTTGGACGAGTGGCTTAGAAATGACAGCAGTCTGAAGTTGGTTGCAATATATCCATCTCACCCTGTGTATATCCTTGATCAGCGTTAAATTCTAAGCCGATTTAGCGATGTCTGTCTCATGTGATCACGCTATCTTTCAAAGGAATTGAGATAGAAGGCTGACATTTTGTGCAAATGTGTGTTTTGTCAGTACGCAGGTTAAGTTTGTAAATGTGCCATGTCGGTCCACGTCTTCGTATAGCCCCCATATAACAGTACCTTCCAATATTCGTTATTTTGATGATTTACCGGAATTGTTTCAAATTTTGTATTAGAAGATCGGAATTGGTACTACAGACAATGACATAAAATTACTTATGCAGATCCACGTCTTCGCATAGGGCCTACATAATGGTTTTCATTTAGTCGGTATTGTTCGACGGTTTTTTTCTTTTTTTGAAATTTCCTAAGTTACTTCAGTTTGGTCCGGCCGAACTTTACGGCTTTTTTACTTGTTTTAAATATTTTTGCCAGGACTAAAAGGGATTGTTAAAAATTATTTTCAAAGCACAATATTTTTTGAGTTTTGAAAATATTTCCCATAGAATATTAGTAGGGTTCCTTGTGCGAAGGCTCGTCACAGATTATGACCTGAGCCAAAATCGTGGATGGTTGAATGGACTTCATTGTGAAAACGAAAATTATTCAAAATATTCGGAGTTAATCCAGCCATGTAAATTTTTTACGAATGCAGGCTCTGTTCGTATTAAATTTAAAACGAATATAGGCGGAATGGGGCTATAGAAATTGTTCTGCAACAGCAGTAGAACAAATTACGAAATCAAAACTCAGCATTTTAAATAATAAATAATGCCTTTTTATTATGCATATGAATTCCTGGCGTTTAGGTAAGATTTGAACTTTTGATAAATTCTGTAATATATTGAGTTTTTACGATTCCGTTTAAAGGGAGTTTTAATCATATTTTAAAAAAGATCCCTCGAGTAAGGGTTAAAATAATTAAATTAAATGATCAAACTATTGCTATTAGTTAAATGCAAGTATTCCAAGGAATCTTAATCTGGTTCTAGCCCCTCCATTTAGGTTACTTTACGATTTACACATTCAAGGATTTTTTAAGGGCTATTTCAGCCATAATCAAAGATTTTAAAGAAGAAAATTCACGAAGACTATCAGAGCCATAAACACCGATTTCCGATATCTTTAATCGTGGATTTATGAGAACATTTCTGGAAGAAGCATTCGAGTCATGATCGTGGATATTTAAGGAGGATATTTCAAAGGAGGAATATAATCGTGGATTGTTTAAAGATCTCTCTTCTTGGAAGAAATTTAAAAACCATAATTGTGAATTTAAAAATTATTTAGAGGATTTTTAAGATAATTTTTAAAGGACAACTAGGGCTATAATCATGATTTTTAAAGAATATGTTCAGAAGTAGTTCTGAAGTGATAATCGTAGAATTTTTAAAGAAACAATATTAGAAGGTATATCAGAACCATTAACGTGAATATTTTTAGAATATTTCCAAAGAAATTTGATCGGATTAAAAAAATTCAAGGACAATAATTTCGATTTTTTTTTAAAAAATATTTTCAAGGACTTTCAGGGCAATATCCAAGCAAAGGCCCAAAGAATACCAGAACAAGTTAAAAAGTATCGGTCGGTATTGCCGACAGATATATACCCTCAGCCTGTGTTCGATCATTTAAATATAATTTGACTAGTGTTACAATTATTCAAACGTTTTACCCTCTATGGAGCAGGTTCCGAAGGAATGGGCCAATATTGTCTATTTCGTATCGGACCCCAAAATATGATATAAATATTCCGACGTTCCTGGTATGGATTATATCGACTAACTCCTTCACTATATATGAGATATGTAATAATTTTTAGAAAATGTTAAAATGTGCGTGATGTACAAGATAGAGTCTACCGAAATATTCCACTTTTATACTTCATCTGATACAAATAAAAAATATTGAGCGAAATATTTGGCAACAATAAAAGAAAGGATATTTATGTCCAATATTATGCGAAATCATAAATTCCGATAAATTTCATATTCATATCAGGCTTCTTATTTAGAGAAATATTTGAGCATAGCAAGTAGTAAAGAATTGCGAAATTGTTTCGAAAGTTATGACAGATAAAATTATTGAAAATTGTGACCCCAGAAGGGATTGGCAGATATAAATTAGCTTCACAACCGATCTTGTGTTAGCAAAAATATTTGTATATGTGAAATTTGAGGAGAGTTGGATGTTTATTCCGCTTTATTTGGGCGTTCGTTTTTCAAAATCTTGAACCCTATGTATGAGGGAGAAGAAATAGTTCGATCTATAACATAACAGATCTTGTGTTGATAGAAATGTTGAGATGTGCCAAGTCTAAATGGAATCGGATGTTAATTTGGCGTTTTATTACCTTCATGGGTATTCAAAATTTCGACACTTTGTGGGGGAGCTACCAGAAGGAGTGGGCCGATACATTCCATTTTCACACCAGACCTTGAACTAATAAAATTATTGGGATGTGTGAAATTTGAAGAGTATCGGACTCTTACATCACATTTTATAAGAGTTTTAATTATCCAAAATTTTGACCCTTTGTGGGGGAGGTCCCTGATGGAGTGGACCGATATTGTCCATTTTCGCACATGACCTAGCACTGATGAAAATATTGGGATTCGCAAAGTTCCAGCTAAATCGGATTATCCTTTCTCTTTTTGTGCAATAAATTATTTTCTTTGAAAATTTTGACATTTTGTGTGGGAGGTACCAGAAGGAGTGAACCGATATTGCCCATCTCCGAACTCGATCTAAGTTTGACAAAAATATTACGATGTACCAAGTTTGGATCAAATCGGGTACCCCCTTCGAGAGTTATCGTGCGCACCAGCCAGACAGACAGACGGACGGACGGACGGACATCGGTAGATCGACTCCAAATGTTCGCAAACGGATTTGGTCCAAAGAGACCTAGGGTCTAAAACCGTTTTTTCGACTAGGCACGTTTTGACCGTATCAAATGATATATACCCTCTGTAGCCATATGGCTGAGGGTATGAAAACAATCTTGAATTGTTGGGAATTCTTTTGAAAGGACTACCAGAGTTAATCTTAAAACTTTCAACATATATTATAAAGAAGTCATATAGCCTTTTAACAGAAGTTTTATTCAAGGCAGACAACCAATTGCTACCCAGACAATCAAGTTTTTATTTGAGTTCAATTGCTTTTTTCGTCTGGGAGTAAAGGCTCATTTTAACTTTTGCCCTTCTGTCAAAAATTAATTTATGTTTCCAAATTTTTTCTGAAAATTTTCTAAAAATGATTCGTTGGTTTTGGATAAAAGTGTAAATGAAAGTGACGGAAATATCAACCCAATCCGTAAAAAGTTGAAGATGGAACATCCAGACGATTGGTAAGTGCATTAATGCAAATTGTTTTGAAACCTACAACGAAAATTTGTAACACCACGAAATATTGGTTCAAGACCCACGATTTTACATATGGATCTACCTATCTTGCCGAGCTGAGTTAATTTATGTATCACGCTACATGTCACAATTATGACTCCAAACCTCACGACATTTTGCGTTGAGTCAGGGCCAGAATAGAAGTCTTTAAGGGTTTGAAATGGATCAAAAACAGATTATTCTTAGATTTTACAATCTCTCTACAGGTCATAATTTCAGATCAATCGACCCGGAATTTTGCATGAGGTAAGAACAGTTAAGAAGCGCACAAGTTTGGATGGACTCGATTAATATGTATTGATTATCTAGTTTGACGTTTCGTTTTGCTTGTGTTGGAGAATATTTTTAGAATGACGGCCAGAATTACACAGTCGAAATATTGAAGAACCCTTTTAGAATGTTTTGATTTGATCCATAATAATGCAATATAGGGTTACATTGAAGTCGTCATTAATCGGAAAATGAAATATACGCTCATCCACCATTTCTTTTCCTTTAAAAAATGTTAAATTGGATAAATGTTTTGCATGGTGAAGCAAGTAACTCACCCGGTACGCATATTCTACTACATCAAGTGCAGGAGCTCATAAAGAAAACGGATCGAAACAGGGAGACAAACTAAAGCAAAAAAAAAACAACTTCATACGAATTTCACTAAAGGTAGCAGGTCCACACATAAACCAAAATCCTATGAGACTCTCATACAACATGACAACCCAGCAAACACATCCATTACACTGTGCAACAGAAAAAATAATCACAGGGAAACTCCAGCAAATTGTGAAAGTAAAGCTTATAATAGAAGACACGGGTATCGGAGTTTCTGAAAATTCACATCGCAACGTAACCTAAATATATATTGGGGATTTATGTGAAATAGATCATACCACCTATGAACGAAATATGCAGTGCCTGAAGTGACTTCAATAAGAATTATATTAAAAAATATTTATTAGAGCAATAGATATACCGGACCGGGTTTCGCCAAATGGTAAAATCCGGTTGAATATGAAAAAATCTATTATATGGTGAGCAACAACCGTAAAATCGTATGAAGGTGTATATCGAAGCTATGTAAAAATCTAAATCAATCTGAATACAATTTGGCAGAGGAATTTTTGAGCAGCATCTGATGCCCGGTATCAAATACAATTGTTGTGGAGTACATATTGCGCATGTAAGGGAATATTGCATATTGCGCATGAGGAAAATCTGAACCAATTTTCACAAAAATTTAAAGTACTTGTTTCTAGGATAAATTCATTCGGAATTACCGAAAAGCGCATTTTTGCTGGTATTAGCTATTTGTGACAATAAACCTGATATCTGATAAAGATATGGGGGCTATATCCGATACGATCTCGTATAAATAGAGGAGGAAATTTTGAAGTCTATAAGTTCTTGTGGAGTGCATCTTACGCATGTTAGAGACTTAAAACCCCAATTCGGATGAAATATATATATGGGAGGTATAACTATATCTGAACTGATTTTCTCCAAATTCGATGTACAGGGTTGCCCATATTCGACGGACCTTTGGGCCCTTTGAGCCCATTCCAATCGACGAGGCTTGTCCGCAGGCAACATTCTTTGCGTCAATTGAATTTTGTACGGGAACAAATGCGAATAATCCGTTGTAAAGTGGACCGAGCCATGCCCAACTGCTGAGAACGGCGTTTTTGGGATGTTCTTAGGGACCTCTCAACACTGGCTCGTACGGCTGCGATATTCTCGGCAGATCGCCGTGGTCGTGGTTTGGATTAGAAAGAACCTTACCAGTCGAAAATTTTTCGTATAAACGCTTAATGGTGTTCTTAGAAGGCGCACTTCTCACATTTTTTAAAATCTGCTTGGACTGACACTTCAAACGCGGTATGTCATTAAGCGATGTGACATCTCTGTCAAAAGTTATGGCGTTGCCAGATGGGTCCGTCGAATATGGGCAACCCTGTACTTGCCTCTACCATTTGCTGCACAATTATCCCAAAATCGGTTGAAGATATGTATGGGACAATATCTAAATTTGAACCGATTCTCACCAATTTCGATAGGGTTCATCCAAATGTCCTGCATTTTGCTCCCAAAAATACATGTATAGAAGGACGTACGAACAGACATGCATAAATCGATTCAGAAAGTGAATCTATGAATATCCTCAAAAGTAACTATGGGTCTATCTCGCTTGCTTCTCCATGTTACAAACAAATGCACAATGACATAAAACCCCTACAACTATCAAAGACATAGAAGTGTAAAGATAGGACAAGACAGAGTAAAATATGGCAACCCTGTGAAAAATGCCTCTGTTGTTATGATATCGTAACAACATAGTTACCAATGTTAAGCAATTTAAACCGCTAAGACCGTATGCAATTATTTGGGAAGGTATATGGAATAGAACTTTGAAACCAGTATTTTGGATTATTCAAATTTTTATTTGTCATTCTTTCGTATAATTGTGTTTTTATATTAACTTGCCTCTGTCATGAGCTGTTATTCAAGGTAGTATAGCCACAAACCTTTTGCTCAAAATGCATTTTGTCTAGTCTTTACCATTTTATGTCTTTGCAACTATATGGTGTAGGGTATAAAATTAGGAAATTTTTTTGGAATTTTTTTTTTTGTATACAGTGGAAATCGAGATTTCTTTTCTTTGGTAACTTAAAACAGAACTTGATGGGGAATATTTTTGACTTTGACTTAATTCTTTTGGAATAATGTTTTGTAGGAGATTTTTTCATAAAGTCACAGAAAGTACATCTTCAACCCTAAAATATGTTTTAAGGAATTCTATCCTGGCATTTAGACAAGATTTAGATTTTTGACGTATTCTAGTAGAATTTTATGACGAACAACTTTGTGGAATATTTTGACTTGACTTTAACCATGATTTCAAAAAAGGACCATAAAGACCCCTTTGTAGACTCGAATTAAAGTTAAATTTTCAACCAAAAAAATCCTTGTGTTTTTATTTGCAATGTTGCCGAAGCCAAACAAAATCAGCAAATTCCAAGGAATATTAAACCGAAATTTTCAAAAAATGTAGAGTTACTTTGCGATGTAAACTTTCAGAACCACGATACATTTTTTATATCCTCCACCATACTATGGAGTGTATATTAACTTTGTCATTCCGTTTGTAAATCCTCGAAATACTAATGTCAGACCCAACAAGGTACATATATTCTAGATCAGCGTAAAATTCTAGGTCGATTTAGCGATGTCCGTCGGTCTGTCTGTCGGTTGTAATCACGCTATCTTTCGAAAGAATTGAGATGGAAGGCTAAAATTTTGAACACACGTGTAGTTTACCGGTAGGCAGGTTAAGTTCTTAAATGGGCCATATAGATCCACGTTTTCATATAGCCCCCATATAACGGTACCTCCCAATGTACGGTATGTTAATGATATTTTTACTGAAATTGTTTCAAATTTCGTATTTGAAGTTCGTAGGAGGTGCTACAGCCTATGACAAAATATCGCGTGCGCAGGTCCCCCCCCATTATTCGGTATTTTGATGATTTTAGCGACATTATTCACCGGAATTATATCAAATTTTATATTTGAAGTTCGTAACGGATACTAAGCCTATACCAGAAAATTATCGGTGCAGGTCCACGTTTTATAACTACCATGGTACCTCCCTATATTTTGAAGATTTTAGCTACATTATAAACAGTTTTTTTTTTCAAGTTTCGCATTTGAATATTGTAATAGCTTGTGTCAAAGTTCTGCATAAGCAACTTCCACGTCCACGTCGTCGCATGGACCTAATATACGACTACATTCGGTGTTTTTTTAAAGTTTTGAACAGAATTTCTAACGGATTTTATTTTTGTGAAAATTTCCAAATTTGTACCAAATGGTGGAGGGTATTCAAAGTTCGGCCTGACCGAACTTACAGCTTTTTTACTTGTTTAATGTTGTTTGGTGCTAGAGCCACCGTCATATTTGTTGAAAATCGATTTAGAGTAGGATATAGTTCCCAAACTGTGACTGCTCTATAGCCATGGTACACATTCAAATAAGTTTCATATTTTTTGTTACGAGAGATCTACTATACACGCTTAGTGGTGTAGGGTATTATATAGTCGGCCCCGTCCGACTTTTGACCTTTCCATACTTTTTTTCTTTAAATTGACTTTTTTAGTTTTGTCTCCAGCTGGTATTGAACTAGAAGGCTTATACCCTGCACGCTGTCACATTGAGGGGAAGAGAGAGGGTTGTTTCCAGTCTTATATTTACAACTTCTCTTATTTTGTTATGTTTTTCATCCTTTGCCGATGCCGAGTCTTAAACTCACAACCTTCGGTGTTGTAGTCGAACGGGTATAATTTGTGCCAACCTTACTCATTACTTGGTAATGAGAAAAGTAATTTATTTTTACTATTTTTTATGGAATATCCCCTTATATTTAAACTACTGGTAATGTAGAAGGTAGTCGGTTTATATTACCTTTCAAATGGTTATTTGGCTCCTACAGCTGTTTGCTGGGTAACTCCCCTCGTTTACATAACATTTGGTGTTGTTGTTGGAGTTCTTGAATCTTCACTGATTCAATGATATGCAATGCGTACGTATATACGTATGACGAAATGTTCAGCAATGCGCCATGTCTGTCTGCCTGTCCGTCGACGGTGGCCATACGGCTACATGAAGAAATGGATGTATGGATGGGCTGGCCGGGATGAATGACTTTTTGTTTAATTTACAATTAAAACTAATTAATTTTAGTTGTGATAAATTGTTGTAATATGGAAAAGAAGACGAAGAAGAATTGTGCCCGCCAGAACTAGGGGAGGGTAAATGTTAAGTAACTCGTACCTTTGCTAGAAAATTCAATTAGTAAGGGAACGTAATTTTTTTTCCTTGGAAAGTTTTCCCTTTGCAATGAGGCGTCAGCGTAGTCATTGAAATAACATGTCGTCTCTTGCTCCGCCTTTGG